AGATGGAGCAAAGAAAATATCTCAGAGTTTCAACTGAGGACTAAATGGAGTACCTTTAAAGACGCATTGAAGATGATCGCTCTAGCAGTTATAAAGGAGAACAATCTACTACCGTTAAAATGGAAATTGGGTTCAACTACAACTCGTGTTTCTTGACACTGATGGCGTCAATAGAGTGGCATATATCAAAACTTCTACAGGAATTTTAAGAAGATCTTAAAATATTTGTCCACTTCCTGAAGCAAGCATTACTTCCAACCGCCGGCGGAATGTTCACGCATGAAGACTTATTTTATAAAAAGCGCCTAAATTTTATAAAGAGCAATTATTTTAATGGTTGAATTTGGTAAGCTTCAATTTAAGGGTTTTTCTCTCAATATACTTTAAGCAGCGAGCACGGATTTTTATAACTTCCTGTGTCACGTCGCATATAGTGGCGAACTAGAGGATGAATCCGGGTTTGCGCACTTTCCGATAACCGATTTCAATAAAACTTGGCAAATAGATGTAACTCCACAAACTTTTCAGGTCACTTTTTTAGTACTCTGTACTGAGATTTTTAATACATGTTTCGATATACATTGAAATATATGAAATGTTTAAAAAGAAACAACTTTTTTAAAATCCATTAAAGGCAATTAATTACGCAGTCGCGCAAACATTTACTTAAGGGTAAAAGCTACCTTCTCATGCAAAATAAGTACGACAAATTACTCTTGAATAGTTCTTATAGGCGCTACTTGAATTCCTATCACAAAACTTATATTGAAAGGAATTCCTCCACTGTGGAATTCGTTATTCAATAAAAAGATTTTCAGTCAAGCATTTTGTTTTTTGTGACACTTTTATGATTTGTTCGTGTATTGGGGACGGATTACTGGATTACTCGTTGGTTTCTTGTTGTGACGGGCAACGTATTTCCCCGTATTTTGCCACGACAGGATTCAAAATTGGAACGGTCTGATGCTCAAGAAACTCAAGAACCTTCTGTTACTGATTTTACATAATACTGTAACGGGATCAGTACTTCTACTTATATAGTGGCTGATAGAAACCTAAACAACACACGGAACATTATTCATACTAACTTTGATTTATTGTGTGATTGGGCGCATAACGGTGGTTAGATTATTAATTACAAAAATACGAAATTCATCCACATCCACTCTTCATGCCTAAATTGTGCAAATAGGCCAGTGAATCGTGCGCACACTCATCAATGCATGCACACGAGTTGTGTCATCTAACTATTGTTCATGTAATTGTCGTGAATTGGAATCTGTCTCACAGCATATGTACCTCGGTCTTATAATAGACAATAAGTTTAACTGGAAACCTCAAATATACTATGTTTGTAAGAAGTTGAGAGAAGTCTAGTCAAAACTTTCCTTTCTGAAACATAAATTACCTTACAAAATATTAAGAACGGTGTACAACGCACTGGCAGATTCAATAATTGGATACGAGCTTAGTAGTTATGGTAGAACATGCAAAACATCCTAAGGTCGTATTCCAGAACTCTACTCAATATCCAAGTTAGGGCTTGAGTGTTGCAGTGAGCACTGAAAATCATACTCAAGTCCTAGCCATTAGGGTCGTATTTCCAGTGCTTGAAATCATACTCAAGTCTGCTCAAATCCTGACTTGAGGATTGAGTAGAGTTCTAGAATACAACCCTTAAATGATTTTTATAAACTACAAATAAGGCTGCTAAAATTTTTCGTGCCAATAACGGTTAAAAATAAATGTAGAAATGATTGTAACAACTTGTTTAGATACTGTAAAATCTTAGATACACACAGTAAAATAAATATATACATAATTTGTGATGAAATAGATAAAATTGCCATAAAACGATAAGAATCGATAAACTGCGTAATCTAAGTTACCTACTAAGGTATGTTCTTCCTCCATGCAATAACAACTATGGAAAGCGTGTCTGGAGATACATGTTACCATTACTGCTCAATAAATTGCCAAGTAACGTTTTTGATAAACTTATTGGTAACCCAAAAACTAGTAAAACAATTCTTAAGTCCATTCATTTGTCAAATTGTGAAAGTTAATAGTTCTTAAGTGTAAGTTGCGTAAATTATTATATACGTATAAGTATTACATATTAATTATTTTGTTAGACGCCTGATAGCATGTGATGGAGCGATATATAAATCTGGTAATGGTTTTTATTCGGTATTTTGTGTTTCTTTTTGTAAGCTTTTTAATTGTGAGTAAAATAATTAAATAAATAAATAAATACCGTGTGTTCTTGGAGCCGCTAATCATCGCATAAAATGATTAACAATTTCGCATGGCAAATAAATACATAGTACTCTGGTTCTATCGGAGATAATTTTCTATACGAATATTTTACAGAAACTCTAGTGACCATAAACTAAGTTACGAAAAAGAAAATCTTTCCATTTGCTTATTTGGCTTCACATAAAAAATATTTGACAGATTTATTTATAAGAAAATTCTTGCGAACTTACAGTTTGACCAATACGCCCAGGAAGATATTGGATTACAGTGTTGATTAAAAAGAAAATTAGAATAATAAAAGTAACAAACATAAAATAATAGTAACAACAGTTTGTAAGGGTAGCTTCCCTTACTCTAAGTTGTAGTTTGCTGGAGAGTCAATCAGTTTATCACTGGAACGGGATGTTAGTAATGAAACGTGTCCGCACTCAATGATTCCGTTTATTGAACTCTAAATAAAGTAAACACGTAATAGCTTTTTATGTTAAAATCTACGTCAGCGTATATAGTTTTGCAATTATTATAATATTTTCCTAAGTATGTCGAGGTAGCTCGTACATGCTCCCGACTCAAGAAATGAACTTGACACCGTACAAAAACAAGGTAAATTTAAAGGTAAATGTAAACAACGTAAAAGTAAATGTAAACAAAATAAACGTAAAAGGAAATGTAACTAAAATACATTAATAATTTATATAAAAAAGAAATATTTTCACTTAATTCTAATTCTTGCGATGAGGCCTTGGTGACGTTGCTCTGTCAACTCTCACGTCGAATCCGCGAGTCTGCGCGAAGTCGTCATCATTGCCGGTGCTACTGATGTCACGGTTTGTTCCACAAGGGGTTACGGCGGCGGCGGTAGCGTCTCTCATTTTTAATTCGGTCTGGTCTTGTTTGCTTGACTGCCTTTTGTATTTTTGTTTACACAGAAACAGACCAACACTCAATATACAAAGGGCCATAAATGTATACATAACGTAATGATGGACATCATCATCATCTGTTAGCTCTCTTAGGGTGTCTTGTTGGCTTTTCACAGACTCAATCTTCTCCTTCAATGTGTTGAGTTGCGTACTGTGAGTCTCTGGGTTAAAGTTTAGGCCCGTTATGTTGTTGATAGAGAGGTATTTGTTGATTCCGGACTGAGCTATATACGACTCGTGTTCCTCTTGTATATGAACTTCGTTGTGGAAATTGCTATGTGAATGTATCACATGGTCTTCTCCTTGCAACATGCATCCATCTGGTATCGTAACTATGCCTGTGTTACGTAAAACTTGTGACGTGACCTCCTCAGCTGAGCAAAAAATGCTTGTGTGGCATTCCTCACAACAGGTGAATAACCAGGAACGCTGGTTATGTAATTGCAGCCATTCAACGTTGCAATCTGACACCATCGTGCGGCACGTTGTAGCGGCCTTTTTTCCGATTATTTGCGCTTCACAAATTGATTGTGTAGTCTTTATGTCGTAGATAGGTAAGTTGATGTTACATAGTAGTAAATGTTCATTGGCATGTAAACATTGCATCATGTCCTTCCAGCTGATTGTGATTAACAGACTTCTTTGGTCTACGGCTATGTACTCAGATGTTGGAATCACGTGAAGTAATGATTTTCCTTGCTTCATTTTGATTGGTAGTACTCGAGACAATTCGTACAGCTCCGGGGAGACCAGCGGTAACTTTACTTCAAAGATTAGGAAGTGGTTAGTTAATCGCACATGTACTCTTGAAATTTTGTACATTAGACGAGTGCATTCGTAACTGTTTGTACAAGGCAATGTTAATCCACTTGGTATTTGTCGCGAAATAATGTTTAATTGCTTTTCGAACTCCTCGGGTTTCAATAGGTGTGTGTCTACTCGGCCGTCTCGAATGTCCGTGACGAGGTCAAGTAACAGCTGTTGGACGTTACGTAAGTTTGTCAATATCATATTAGCGGCAAGTGCAGTCGCTATAATATATTGAGTGTTAGATTTGTCTTGATGAACATGATTTTCGAGTTGCTGTAGATGATGGGTGATTGCACGAAACTGTTTGTTGAAAACTTCTTCATTCCGTTTTAAAATGTTGTATTCGCCCTCGATGATTGATGTGTGGTTTTTATACAGGTTCAAAAGATGATTTTCGTTAAACTGTATCTTTTTGATGTCTTTGTTGTATTTGTCCGCAAAACGTTGATCTAGTATACCAAATAGCGAGTTGGCAACATATCCCACGCCGTCTATAACTCCGCGTTTTGAGCGACGTCCGTGTTCTGTTTGTAGCACGACGTTGTAGTGGTTTAACTCGTTCAGTTCGTGTTGAAATTGTAATACTAAGGCCTGATATTCGTATTCTTGCGCGCAAAGTTCCTTGAAGTGGTTTATGTATTTTTCCAAATGATCAAAGCTTTGCCAATAAGTAGTCATATTGTAATACACAACCATCGTCCACTTGTCTTGTATTATTTTCATATCCGACAGCTTATCGAAGTAAATAAGTTTTTCAGGGTTTAACTCGGTCACATTGATAGGCTGTGGTGTTGCCGAGCTTATGCACATTGTAGTGAATAATATTGTTGTGCACAAGTAGCTAAGGATGTTTCGTTTTCTGGGTCGTTGATGCGTTCCCGTGTTCTTAGGTTTTGCACGTGAATTATCAGCCTCGTCCGGAGCGTGACTTATTGGTAAGCGTGAGAGCTTCGTAATGGGGCGTTTCACGTTATCTGAAGTTTTTGTTTTTAGTGTGACCACGCGCACTCATCCGTCCGCTCCTGCATGGGTGTCTGTTACCCTTCCCATTAGCCATCTCGCTGGAGGAATGTGATCATCTCTCAATAGAACTAGGTCGCCAATTTGCAAATTCGGAGTAGGGTAGAACCATTTACTTCGTGTTTGTAAGGTTTGTAGATAAGTTGTTGACCACCGCTTCCAGAAATCGCTTAACATTTTTTCTGTTTGGCGCCATCGTATAGTTAAGCTCATATTGTTGTCGTCGGTGCGTAATGGTGGTCCTAACAGAGGCCCGCCGACCAGGAAGTGCCCAGGAGTGAGACATTCTAAATCCTCTGGGTCCTCAGTAATAGCCACTAGCGGTCTTGAGTTCAGGCAAGCCTCGATCTGTACCAGCAACGTCGAGAATTCTTCAAATGTTAGTCGTTGTTCCCCCAGGACGCGTCTAAGATGGTGTTTTAAACTCTTGACCGCAGCTTCCCAGAGACCGCCTGCAGTAGGCCACGATGGGGCATTGAAGTGCCATTCGATGTTAGATTCAGCAGCAAAGTTCAGGAACTCGTCGTTTACATATAGTCGCAGGGCCTCTTCTCTTTCTTTTGTTAATATTTTGGCAGCGCTAACAAAGTTTGTGCCGTTGTCGCTATACATGTGCCTGGGTGTTTCTCTTCGGCCACAAAGACGTTTTAAGGCAGCGATGAAAGCGGCTGCAGTTAAATCAGATACCAACTCGAGGTGAACGGCCTTGGTGCATAGGCAAATGAAAACAGCGATGTAAGCTTTCATCGTCTTAATTCCACGACCCTTGTTGGCCTTGACATCCACTTGTCCGGTAAAGTCCACCCCCGTATGAGTAAAGGGGCGGGAGGGATTCACCCGCTGTTCGGGCAAGTCGGCCATCAATTGGTAGCTGTTCTGCTTATTGTGGCGGTGACATTTGACACACCTTGTAATGCAGTGCTTGACCATTGACATGCCTCCAATGATCCAATATTTGGTTCGTAGATACTGCAGGGTTAATCGAGCGCCTCCGTGGAGAGTAGCAGCGTGCGCCTGTTCAATTAATAATTCGGTCAGCTTGTGTTTTTTCGGTAGGATGATGGGGTGTTTTTGAGTGTGACTCAAGTCGGCTCGACCTAGTCGCCCGCCAACTCGTAGTATAGTGTCTCGATCAATTATTGGATTCAAATTAATAATTTTGCTGCTTGAACTGACCCGGTTATGTTTTTGTAGTTGCGAAATTTCTTCTGCAAAAGAGTTATGTTGTACTGTCTTGATTATCATGTGTAATGTCGACCTTAATTCAGTTGACGATAAGTACGTGAGTCGAATGGCGCCGTTTTTGTCACGCGCATTTTTTATAAAACGTAGGATCCAGCTCAGCGTTCTTGTTGCACGTGTCATGGAGCTATGCTTATGTAGAAGCTCTTCAATAAGTGGGGCAGGTATTTGCGTCACACACACTTGAGGTTGCTTTCGCTCTTCTTCGCGCGTTTCGAATATGTTTTCAGGAGGCAGGTCATTACTTTTCAGCCATGAAGGGCCCTCCCGCCAGAGAGAGTGCGACAGGAGTTGGCATGGAGACAAACCACGGCTCGCACAATCAGCAGGATTATCCTCTGATTTTACGTGTCTCCAGCAATTTGGGGGCATGACTTCCGTTATTTGTGTCACCCTGTTTGCCACAAATGTTTTCCATCGGTAGGGTTCACCTTGTAGCCATCCTAGTACTACCATAGAGTCGGTCCACCCGTGTATTGTGACTGTCTGCGCCTTTATTGAGTCAGTGACCTTTTTCATGAGGTGTGCTAGTAACAATGCGCCGCATAGTTCCATGCGCGGTAGTGTAATGCGCTTATTCAAAGGCGCTAACTTTGTTTTGCCCGCCACAATTTGTATGATCTTTTTTCCATGTGGTCCTGTAGATATGCAGTAGATTACACATCCATAGGCCTTTTCAGAGGCATCACTGAATCCATGGAGCTCAATGTTTTGTTGAGTGTTCCCAATCCAGCGAGGTATAAAAAAATTTTGTATGGATGGGAGTTCTTTGTTGAATTGTTCCCATTCCTGTTGTATGCATTCTGGAAGAGGGCTGTCCCAGTCTGATGTCGTTTTCCAAGCTTGCTGAAACATGAGCTTTGCCTTCGTTGTAACAGGAGATAGCCATCCAAGCGGGTCGTATAGTTTGGCGAGTTCGGACAGCAGAGTTCGTTTCGTAGTGACGCCATTTGTAGTCGTAACTGAGTTATGTCGGAACGTAAAGTTATCCGTTTGGGGATTCCACGTTATGCCTAGTGTTTTGTTTGTCTCGGCCTGTTGAAAATTGAACATGTTTTGATTAATAAGTTCCTCGGGCAAATTTTCCAATAGAGTGAGATTGTTACTAGCCCATTTGCGCATGTTAAATCCTCCGCATTTTAGCATTGTAATTAATTGGCTTTGTGCCATTTGTGCTTCTTCTATGCTGTTGCAGCCGGCTAACAAATCGTCAACATATAACTGATGATCGAGGATTTCAGCAGCTAGAACTTGCCCTCATCCATAATCAGTTGCTTAATTGTGCGCATAGCGAGGAATGGTGCGGCCTTAGTACCATAGGTTACTGTACACAGTTGGTACTCTTGTATTGGTTCGAGTGTAGAGTCCCTCCATACAATTTTTTGAAGATGTTGGTCTTCTTCAGCAATCAAGATTTGGCGGTAAAACTTTTCTATATCTGCCGTATAAACGTATTGGTATGATCGCCACCGTAAAATCATTGATTGTAAATCTTGTTGTAGGTTCGGGCCGCATTCCATAAGTTGATTCAAACTGTACCCTGACGATGTGTTCGAAGACGCGTTGAATACGGCACGCAATTTGGTCGTAGTAGATTCGGGTTTGAGAACCCCGTGATGTGGCAGGAAGCAGCTTGGCTCTCGTGATTCTGTGCTGAGCTTCATGTGACCGAGCTCCACATATTCACCTATGAACGCCTTGTAACTGTCAGACAATTCTGCGTTTTGCGTTAGACGTTTTTCAAGTTGTCTGAATTGCGCTACTGCTTGTCGCTTGGATGTACCTAATTTTTGTTCGTAATTCTGTTTCATAGGTATTTTTACTACGTAGCGACCGTCTACGAGGCGGCGTGTCGAGTTCGCGTATAATGTTTCACAACACGCCTCGCCTGAAGTCATTTGTTTATTATTGTTTGTAGTAATGTCTTCTAATTCCCAAAATAGTGATATTTCTTCTAGGTTATGAATGAGAGCATGACAATTATATGTTTTCATGTTGCCGAGAAGGACCCATCCCACCTTGGTTTGTAGTGCTATGGGTGCTTCGCTAGGGCCACGTAAGATGCACCCTGTAGCTATTTCTGCATATACACCCGCGTCGAGTAGGACATCCACAGGTCGAGAAACATTGTAGTCGGGGTCCGCCAAGTTTATGTCTTGTAGGTGTGGCCATTGTTGTTTTTTGAAGCTGCAGTTAGGCAAGTTATTTAGAACCTTTTTCATAACTAATGCGCTGGTAGTAAATGTATAGTCGCCATAAAGTGAAGTGCAGTTTAATGATACGGTTCCATTACTCTGGGTGTTAGATGCTCCAATTCCAAATACAGAGGCGTTCTCATGCTGTCTAGGGAGTCCGAGACGTTGTACTGCAGACTCGGTTATGAGATTGATCTGTGATCCTTGGTCGAGTAAACATCTCAGTGTGACATAAGTGCCGTTAATGGCCTTGACCCTTATTTGTAGGGTGGCTAATAACACTTCATTATAGTTGCCCGCCACGTGGTTTGAAGATGTTTGTAGAGGCACGGCGTGATTGAATTTAGGTTGCAAAGGTGGTTGACCCTCCGGCGGTGGCGGAGTTCGCTTAGCAACGCGAAGAGTGTCGTGTAACGAGGTGTGATGCGGCAAGTTGCAGACACGGCACGTTTTCTTGGAGTGGCATTGTTTATCGTGGCAATATAGACAATTTTCACATATATTTAATTGTGAAATTGTTTTCAATTTAGCATCAGGTGCCATGTCAGAAAATAGTTTGCAGTTCATTAACACGTGGTTTGTTTTACATAAGGGACAAGATCGTTCGGCGCTCACGTGGTACGTTCGTGGGTGAGCACGTGTCTGTTTGTTTTGTACTGCCCTTAGTGATGGCGTCGAATAGTCTCTAGCAGGTGGATTTCTTTCTGGCGGATTATAAGGTTTTGGCGCTGTAGAAAAGTTGGGTTGCTGTTTTTTCCTGGTTACGGGTTCCAAGGCAGTAAACTTGCTTTCCAGGAACTGTATAAACTCGTCGAATGTTGGTAGCTCACGTGGGGCCTTTCTTGTTTCCATATAAGACGTATAGGTGTCGGCGTCCAGCTTTCCTGTAAGGATATGAACTAAGATAGGAGCCCACGTTGCTGTATCCACTCCTAGGTTATTAATTGCGTGAGTCGTCTCAAGAGTGGTATCGTGTAACCGTTTTAGTTCATACGCACTTTGGTGTTGGATAGAGGGTTGATTCATGAACGTTTGCATTAGCCGTGTAAATAGAAGCTGTTTGTTGTCGTATCTATGTGTTAATATGTCCCAGCACGCATCGTAGTTTTCTGCCGATACCGTAAGATGTTGGACAATCCTTTCCGCTTCACCTCGGAGCCTCCCTTTAAGATGTTGCATCTTCTGGGCTTTAGAGAGTGACATGTTGTTGTGAATCGTTTCTCTGTATAAATCTAGGAAGGTTGGCCACTGCGCATAGTTACCCGAGAAGATAGGGATCTCGATTTTTGGTAGAGATTGATTCTGGGATGTGGTGGCGTTCAATTTGCGATGTAATTGACGTTTAACAGACTCGTACCGATTTTCGTTATCAGTGAAATCTTGCTCGTAGTCCAAGTTACAATCAGTAAGCAGATTGTCGATCTGCCAATGTGTTTCATCTATTATTTTCCACCTGGCCTGAAGCATCTGCAACTTGTCTTCAACCTCCCACTTCTCGTTAATGGTTTCAATGTCAATATTGCGAATTAACCGAGATAGAGCTCTGAAGTTGGTAGCTTGTTGCATGATCAACTCGTCGGACTTTGATGGAGTTCCCTTTGCCTCCCTTCCGTCAGGAGGGGCTTGATAAGTTAAAAGAGTGTTGCGGATGGACTCATATTTAGACTTCACTTTTTCGTACATGTTGGTGTTGACATACATTGTTGTTTTGATGTCGTAGTAAAGAAGTCTGCTGTGGTTGTTTTCAAATTCGTTCCACAGCTCGTCAAGTGTATCCACACGTTTTTTGATGTAATCGGTGGTTTTACGGGCAGCTGCGTCCTTGTTGAAGTTTACACCAATTTTATTAATTGTTTCTGAGAGTATCTCTTGACGTTGAAATAGACTCTCCATTGTGCTGAAGTTCAAATGTAAATGTCGAAGAGTTTTTTATATATGCGTTGTTCAGTATCGTATGAGTGACCTCTCCTCAAGGTATGTGCGCCTTCTCAATCGTTACCGGTGAGACCCTCTTCTGGGAAGCCGGCCGACCGATTCGCTACCAAGATTCAAAGTTCAATTCACACGTTACTGGAATTCGTTTAGTACGCTCACGGACCGGGAGACCGATAGACCACAGACTCCAATCCGGCTCGAAGGACCAAAATGTAAGGGTAGCTTCCCTTACTCTAAGTTGTAGTTTGCTGGAGAGTCAATCAGTATATCACTGGAACGGGATGTTAGTAATGAAACGTGTCCGCACTCAATGATTCCGTTTATTGAACTCTAAATAAAGTAAACACGTAATAGCCTTTTATGTTAAAATCTACGTCAGCGTATATAGTTTTGCAATTATTATAATATTTTCCTAAGTATGTCGAGGTAGCTCGTACACAGTTTGTATTCTAAATAGCTATACAATTACATAAATTTACAGAATTTGATTGATTGAGATCTATGAAACTTGCATGATGTTGCATTATCCCCAAAAGTTACGCAATTCCCTCGAAATTCCTAATAAACCCTGTTTTACGATTGAGGTAGACGTAAAAATATAGATAAGTTGCGAATAAGTTCTACTTACCCCAACTAAATCATATATTGTACATATATTGATATACCAACTTGTGAGACCAAATTAATGTTCAAATGATTTATTTAAACGTCTTTGGAATTGTAGTGATTATATAAATATATCGTATATACAATGTAGTTATTTCCAAAATGTTTCAATATTATATAGGTTATTATGATATTTATGAAAACAAACTAGTCTATTCGGATAAAGTCATGGTTAGAGTTAAATAAAGTTAATTGTATACTTCAAGTGTAACGTCCTCGATTATCAAGGTTGCAGTTTTAAACAATTAAAAAGGTGTACATACCGCGAGAGATCTTCACATTCCTTCTAAACCCACCAGCCAACACGCAAAAACCGCCCCAAACGGAGATTTCGGCGAAAATTTTATTGAAACATTGTAATTTTTAATATGAATGGCTGGAGTTAATTTCTATTATAAACTCTTAATATAAAGCTTGATTTCATTGAAGACATTGAACGAACTTTATATTAACATAAAATATTATTGAAATTACAATGGTCTGAACACTTGTGAAAATTGCTAGTGAATAAAATCGCCCGCAATAGAATGAATCATCAATATCAGCGCGCACCTCGTAGCGGCGTCGGCCGCCCGTAGCGAGCGCTACGCTCGTAGCCCGTACCTGATAAATGTTCTAGTGCTACGGAAACTAGTGAAATAAAAATATTAGTATTTAAAATTAAGCATTAGTATGAGATAAAAAGTATGATGACAGAGTTTAGACCATAGTCTGTCACGCTGCCGCAATGTGGGCTGGGGACATTAGATGTTTTCCAAGGGCTGTGACCCTTATCCGATGAGTTGTTTCATCACGGTGTCTTGTTTTACCGTTAGAAGGAGGTATTGCTAATAAACATTCACGAATTAAGTTACTTAGAAAATAAAGTCAGAGGTACATGCTGCCACATGGATTCGAGCTAGTGTTGTAAAAAATTCGAATCCGGGAGTCTACATTTATAAATTCGACTCACTATTGCATGACTCGGTGGCCTAAAACACTTATGAGTCCGACTGTGATTGAGCGCGAGTCATCGGCGCACAGACACGAGTCTAAAAAGAACTCGAGTCGAAAACCTAACTCGAGTTTTGAACAAAATGCGAGTTCCAACTCGACTCGAAGCGACTTCTACTCTACAAAGTCTCGAGTTCGTACTCGACAAGTAGGTTGCAATTGTACTGAACAACTACTATTGTTATCCATTAATTAAATAAAAAACAAAAACCCAATAAAGTAATTAAAAAAAGATTAGTTCCTAATTTTTACAGCAATTATGACACAGTTTAACACACCACGCCATAACACCACTTAGTATGTACTTACCAGACTCGAGTTCGACGCGTTACATAAATAGACTCGAGTACTAATATCGAACTCGAGTCTATTCGGAAACTCGATAGGCCCGTAATAAATACATCGAGCAGTGGAGTCTCTGTCTTTATGAGTCGAGTCTTCTGAATTGGAATCAAGTCATAAAATAAAAACTCCCTTACTCGAGTTTTTCACAACATTAATTCGAAAAGTCGACTTCTCAAGTCAGGAGCAACCGTTCTCCCACTGAACCACCAGTGCTTGTGTTAGAGTTAAGTTGAGATATTTCAATGCTTATAAAAATAATAAAAAAATTGTATTTGCCCTGCCATTTTCATGATTCATTTGTTATCGAGAAGTGTTAATTCAATACGGCGACCTCAATGCGAATTTTTCCTATTAAAATAATGAAAACGTGATCAAGTCGCCACGGATTTGATTATGTGAAGTACCCGCACTCTTCGCCTGTCATTTCATCGTTTCAATCAACGTGGACATAAAAAAGACCATAATATCCAATATTAAATATCACCAAAACAAGCCAGATCGCCGATCTGCGTCACGTAATTTTCTCAGGCCTGTCAATATAACGTCGTGTTCTTAAGTTACGGTTTAATTTACCATGTATTGTTAAAGAATGAATTAATTTGTGTTTTATTAACCAATATTGACTTATTATTTAAAGATAAATTATTATTTCAAATTTTTAATTGAAATTATTATTTGCAAAACGAAAACGAGCTAGTCTTCGTTTTCGTTATGCCTTGGTCGGTTACTTAGCCTTATAAATACACTTTGTTTTTTACGATAAATACATCGCTATTTTCTGAGAGAGAGCGTATTAAATTGGATTTGAAAAATAACAGCTTTCAGAAACGCACAAGGATCTCCATTGTAATTTTAAGTAAATAGTGGAACAAGTATGCCTATAGTTTATTTCCACCGATGGAATTACAGCTGTAATCTCATTTTTGCTAATGGTAATTAAAAACACAGAACGTTTGAACAATAGAGAAGAGAGGGCTCAGAAACGGGCACCGAGTGGGTAAATAACAAAGATACGAGGTAATAAGTTACGTAAACAGCGTGAGGAGGAAAATAATATATATGGATATAAGCACAACGCGTTTGAACCTGTTTCATTTGACGTTCCATTCTATATGTCATTGAATTGTAAAAAAAGTCTTTCAGCCCCACCTCCAACTTTATATGAAACGGAATTTACATAAGCATTCGATTCAGAGTCGTTATAAATTAACATCCGTGTGAACCATTAAGGTACACGATTCGCGCATAACTCAGGATAACAGCGTCGTTAAGCCCGACAATGGCACCGATAACTAATAAGCGAGAGACCAGCACTTAAGACTTTAGAGGCAAGAGAATCTCCATTGAGACTCAGTGACAGGGAAAGGTTTCTGATGTGATTTTTTTGATGCCGAATTGCATCGGGGTGCGAGCGGAGAGGTGGTGGGGGCGCGGGGAGAGGCGCGGCCGGGCCCAGGCGTGCGCAGCCGGCAGTGTCAGGCGGACCACCGCTTACAGTGGACTTCCGTGCGCGATTTTTCGGGCCCGGTCCCACGTTGGGCGCCACATATCTCAACAGCGACTCCCGCGTGTTGTCATTGCATAACACACGTTAACTATTTCTACGTAGGTATAAAACGGTAAAAGTGAAGTGAAGGATCCAAAAAGTGCTTGGTGTTTATATAATAGCGGTTGTTTGCAAAACCCCGCCAAATCTGAAGTTGACACAACCGATGACAAGACCAATATTTATGGCAAATCTTTAAAACTACAAAGTGCTAGTAACAGCAAGTTGATTTGTGTACATAATATTTAATTAATAGTTGATAACATTTGGTGAAGTGACACGTGACGTGCTCTCTCAGGTTACCACAGGGCTACGCGAAACTGTAAGTACTTTTGATTAATTGGTACTTAGAAACTTTGGAGGGAATCTTGTGATTTATCAATCTCGACGCAATAGCGGTTAAATGTTGAACTGGGAATGGTGTCGCAACATAACGGCGCACTTTTGCGTGTTTGAGGAACAATTATTTTCTTGGCACACAATACGAGGGAAAATTTCTTGCCAAATGTCTTTCTAATGATGTGTGTCGGCTGAACTACGAAAATTCCTATAATAGCTTTTACGTATTATGGTACTTAGAAATAATGTACCTTATTGGTGATTGTACAATCGCATTCTTATGAATATGTATCGTAGTCGGTGGTTCCAGATGAAGTCGAACTCTGCCTGGGCACAACTTCGACATTGTTTTCATCACATTGAAAACTCGGCTTTCATTTGAAGGAAAATTTTGTGAATAGCCTTAGGAATAAATTTGTCCGTGGTTGGATACGGTCCCCGGAGATCGGCGAGCATTATTTGGTTACCGACTTAGTAAACTTTTTTCCCTAAAGAATTAATTAAGTGAGGATTACTTTGTAACAAAGGGATTCGCGTTTTCAGACTCATTACGGTGTTCTGTTTTACAAAAATAGCCCGTGAATTCACCGAATGTTTGCGGGCGATAAAAATTTTCACGGGTTCATTAAAAGTTTGTTGATTGTACTTTTAAGTTCAACGGGGCTTGGTCGGTGTGGGAACCGTAAATGTGATAACATAAATGACGTTAAGATAAAGGGAACGAGGAACTTCGTACCTGTTTTGAAATGAATAGAAGTGATTATGGTAGTGAGATGGATGCGCGGCGACACGGGCCGACGGCAGACGTTACCGGGTAAGAGACGTAATGTCTTGCACATTTTGTGGCTGTGCACTACTGTTTTTATAGCCGTAGTATGTTTTTGTTAAACAAAATGTGCTAATCTTTCTTTTACTTGTTAATTTATTTGGGACAACAACAGTTTATTGTCACTAGGTTACATTAAATGATATAAAACAGAACAAAGGCAATATAATTATCTTCTAATTACATACGAGAGCGAGATGTGCTAATGAAATACTGTGAGCTGTGAGCTGTGCAGAAACTAATACCCGCGATTGTAAATAAAATAATGTTACTGTTAGATCAATTAGATTATATAATTTTACCATATAATTACACAGATTATTGTGTTCAAATAGTAATGGCACTACATAATCTAAAGCGCATTAAAGATTGTACCCATACAGCGTACTTCGAACCTTCAAGGATTCTATTTGTTTCAATATTCTCTCGCGACAAGAGTGGCACGCCGCACGCGTGATCGGCTTAGCGCTGCATAGACAATTTGTCACGACTGTAGCGCGGTGAAAGCCTAGATAAGTCAATAAAACAAAGAGCTCCGCGTGCCGCTAGATTAATAATAAACGAGATCTGATCCGATTGATTTGGGAATTCATGAGGGCTTTGTAGTCAGAAACACCACGCGGATAAGATAAGAATAAGATTATATAGTAACGAACGAAAGACAAAGAAATTTCAGAAATATTTCGTGCTCGGAAATCATTCAAAAGTATATGAGAAAGGTAAATACAACGAATACAACGCCTAAGATGGGTAATTTACAATTACAAATTAAATATGAATGACGTTGAAAAAAACCAAAAAAATTTATTCAACCCTCAAAAACAAAGTCAGATCCTTACTTTCATCTCACAGACAGACGGATTCGTGAAAAAGTAAAAGTTAGGAGCTTTGAAGTGGTAAAGAATATAAAGGCAGGAATACACAGTTGCTTATATAAAACTTTTGTTGACGGAATTTTTTCGTAGAAACTAATTTGAGAGATCCTTGCAGGATGTGCGCCTTTGTCTTTCTTCTTGGATGAAGAGCATATAAAGCAACGAACACAATACAGGAGAACGCAGCAACCGAGGTGGAGACGAGTCTGGTATACACCTCACTACGTGGAAATGCAGTGACGAATAACATAGCGATGTCATTTCGGCATTTGTAGTTCAACAAGTTATCTATAAAATATTTAAAAAAACAAAAAACCAGCCTCTCTTCCTTGTAGTATGAGAATGAACGTGATAAGCGAATACGCTCAAAGAATTATATTAATATACATAAAATAAGACGACATTCGCAAAATAGACGGGAGAAAGGAAATATAAAATTGTATTTTAGAAACGTCGTCTGGCAAATATGAATGTTAGGAAATATTAATTCACATTGAGTTTTAAAGAAAAATATAGAGAATTTGTTCTGAGTTTAATGAAATCTAAATGTTGTCAAAACAATTAATAGGTCAAAGGTGAAATCTTAAACCAACGTTTTGTAGGTACTGGAAAGTGTACCCTTTACTGTTAATGAAGTTAAAATTTTAGTTTGAATATCGTCAAAGAGGAATATAAGTTCTTAATAATAGACTTTGTCACTCGATATTGAGAAAGCCTCCAAGTTGGAAAGTGCGGCGTATGGAAACCGAAAACGGGGAAAACAATTGAGTTTCGACGAAACTTGAGTCAGTTTTTTTAAGTTTTCGCCAGTTGGTTTCGATTACTAAAAACGAATATTGGGGAAACAAGGGCGAATTATAATAAAATCTTTGAACGACCTCAAATGGCTTCAGAGGGTCCTAAGACATCAAATCACCCTAATAAGGCGTTGTACCCAACAGTTTTTGTTAGTATTCTGGATCTTAAGATGACGTCAGCAAACAGTTTTCAGTTCAATGCTTGCAACATGTTCATAGAGTGTCTTTATAAATGAATAATAGGACTTTAATCTACCGAACCGCGAATATCATTGTGACAGTTGAGTCGAATATGAATTCTGAGCGTGCGTTTGACACGAAAATTTACGACTCGATCGAGTGGTTGGGATAAGACAAGTGACAGGCGACATGAGAGAGCGGAGTCTTTGCTTGGCACTGTGAAGCTGCCGGCCACCGGACGGCGCGGGCCGCAGTCACGCCGCAATTTATTGGAGCACCGAGAGCCGCCAGCGGAGAGCCCGCGCCCAGTTATGAGTTATGGCGCCGGTGTGCCGCTGATTTATGAACGATCACAGTGAAATATCGCCGGACCACTGTAAAATAGTGAAACTAAAAATGTGAATGATATTTGGGTTGAAATATTTTGATTCATGTCCAGATATCCGATTCAGCAATTTGTCACATTTCGTAAATGGAAGACATCCAAATAGCGATCGTTTGTTGGATGAGACATAAAATTTAAATTAGAAAGGATCGAATTTCACAGTATCATTTAGCCTTATTATACAAGAAGCTCATGTGTGTCACCGAAATATAAACTGGGTAAACAGTATGGGTACAATTCATCTGACAAAATGAGTGAGACAGAAGGAGGCACCGTCAAGTGATCCCAAATTCAAAACATGACTGAAACCCTTAGCAAGTGAAGCGGCGCTCTAACAAAGTGAAGGGGCAATATGACAGGGCATGTAAAGTGGCTGCGCAATAAATAGGTTTACCTATATATGGAAGTGCGGTGGGGCGCGGGAGTCGATATTCTATCCTCGGACGAGCTCAATTTATGGGCCGCCTGACGGGCACCGCGATGAGTTATGGAGGCCACTCGACCCTCTCAGACGAATATTTAAATAAGCCGATACGGGCAAGATATTCATTTGAATAATCAACTACAGCAAGTACATAAAATAAAAAATCTCATAGCTCCATCCTTGTTTAGACAAAGTCTGATAAATGAGTAAGAATCTAGTGTACTGACATTACAAGATTTATTAGAATAAAATAACTTACAAGTAAGACACAGTTCCGTTCGACACTTGAGTGATGTAATCCCTGTCCCGGACTGGAATCGAGGACGCCACTTCGGAGTCACGTAGTCCCGAATGAGATAAGTCGAGGCGGCTAATGAGCACACATCAAACAACATAATATACTCGCTTCAAATCACATGCTTCATTGATGAACGAAAATATTGAGCATTAATTTGTAAATATATAGGTAACGGAAATGTAACGGAATGGCAATGGAAATTCAAGGTCGGAGAAAATAAAACATAATTTTTTTGTTCTTGAATGTTTAGTAAAATTAATTTAATGTTATAAAATTACGAAAACATATCGCTGAATCTCTAACCTCAGGGCTAACAAAAGTACTTGTTTTTAATTTTGAAGTTGATTATGGCAATAAAATTGACTATGCAAATTAATTTTGACTTAAAAATGGTAGAGTGTTTAAGAATTATGAATACATTAACAATAATATTCGACATCTGATGAACTAAAAACAAACTATATAATTATTTTTAATCCATTTTAATGAAAATGTAAATAAACCTGTTTGGTTGACATCTAACGTTTTTTTATGATAACGAGTGACGGGAAGAACAAATCGTTGCAGTTAAGTTTTAAATTGCAAAGATTTGAGGCACTGCCACCGCGCCCGCCACCCTGAGACATAAGTTTTTTTTTCAAATGTGGAATGGAATAAATACTTCGTGTGATCAGATCGCATGTAAATGGTGTAGTTAGAAATTAAATGCTGAGAAGCAATAGCTTGTTTATTTCACTTGTGTCACGAGTAAGTCAGGCTGTTTGAAAGCGTCGTGAGCGGCGATCGGCTCCCCCTAAGAGCCTGCGCCCTGGTGCGCTGCACACTTTGCACCTTAAGTCTTTACTTAAGATATCTTAAACAGTGACCGCTTTCGGTCACTGTTTAGGATGTCTTCAACGTGGTCATGATAAGTCCGCCTTGGTCGGTCCTTACCAATTTAATTAAATAACATAAAATTACTTCACGATAAATGTCCTTTCAAGTGACGTGGTTAATCAAAGTCAATGTTAAGATTTCAATAGAATATCATTGAATTTTTTGGAAACAAAAATTTAGAAGCTCAGGTGTGATATTTTACATATAAGATCTATGTTAGATACTTATTTCAATCTCAGATTTTTACTTCATCTTTTTGTTACACCCTATATATGTATATGATACGTACCAGTAGGCAAATTGGCAGAAATATAAAAACAGA